CTTGAGTATATTTTTGAAGAAAAAAAAAACTTTTTGAAGTAGCTGAACTCTACTTTTATTTAAGTAATATTCTTGTGAGAGTGTCAATACTCTTATCTAAGTAAAACTTTTGGTTTGTCAATGCATTCGATTAAATTAATCTATTCAGGGATCAGGTGAAAATACAGTAAATGATAGATGTAGCTGGAACTTTTTTTTATTTTCTCCTGACATATATAGATTACCTAGACCATTAGGATTGCTTCTATAAATAAATGATTTAGAAAAGTGTTTCTTTCACTTGAATTTCTTATTTTATAATGAATTTCTTTATATATATTTTTTTACTTTATTCCATTATCAGACTTTTCCCACCCTTCTGTTTACATCATCTTAACCATTAGATTAAATGTTACCAGCAAAGTTACTCAGCACTTGAGTAGCCATTTTATCAAATCATGTTTTAGCTGTACTTGAGTAATTTTCAATTCAGTTTATTTTAATTCTGTTTATTTCTATAGCGCCAATTTACAACCATGTCATCTAAAGGCACTTTACACTTAAACCAGATCATCCAGTCAGATTGATTAAAAGTTTTCTATCTCAGGAAAACCAGTTGATTACATTGACTCATTGACTCTTCAGCAATCCCTCACACTAAGCATGCTTGTAGCGACAGTGGAGAGGAAAAACTCCCTTTTAACAGGAACAAACCTCCAGCAGAACCAGGCTCAGTGTGAGCGGCCATCTGCTGAGGCCGACTGGGGTTCAAGGGGCCAAAATTTTTTAATGACTTTCTTCACAATAATAAAAAAAAATGTGTTAAAAAATCAGAGACAACCTGTTTTACTCTAAATAGAGTATTTATAACTATACTTAGTGTAAATCTGCTCAGTCAGTGAAAAATGTTCACTCATGCAGTGTAACTTTTATTCTGTATGGTGTGGATTACTCCCCAGTCTCTGAGAGATCTGCTGGACTTTGACATTAGAATGAGTGAAATTACCTCTGAAATGTTGACACTAGAGTAAGTTTTACACTAATTTGGAGTGGGAGTTTGAAATGTTATCTGATATTCAAATCGGTAGGTGTTAAAGTAACACACTTGGTTTTACTTTGTACTTTTACTTGAATGACAAAATGTTAAAGTACGTAGGTCTCCTCTTATTCAAGTACTTTTTTCTGTACTCTAAGATAATATCACCTAATCTAGTGTACGATCAGATTTTTTTATTTCCTGATGGACTGGTTTTCACAGGGTTGTTTCAGTACAAGGTTCAGACATCAAGTCTTTTTAGGAATCTCTCAGAAAACCTCATGAAGCAGCTCTACTCTCTCATTGTTAAAACCAGACCCTGGTGACGAGTCAGACAATATTTAACATGAATGCTCAGACTCTGTGTAAGAATGCTGCTGTGACTAGGAGCTGTAATCGAAACCAAAGAGGGGTGCAACAAAGTCGCAGTGTGAGACTGTTTTGTTTGCCTTTTTGGTCAGGCTGTGTAAATGAGAGAGTTGAGATGGAGCCATAAAGCCTTAACAAAAACCTCCAGCTGTTGCACAAAAGCTTTGATTTATTTTCCTCTCATCAGACTGTGTTGTTGTGGCCAGATCGATGCCGAAGTGTAATTCGGTGAAACGCACACACGGACGGAGTTCAGGAACACACAGTTGGATTTTATTAACCATCACAAATATCCCGTTGTGTGCAGGTCAAACACACAGACGGGCGGACTTGGCCCCGTGGACCATGAATAAAAGTCTCTGAATCAGCTCTCTCCTTTGTTGGGCTCAGCAAACAATGACTGTTTTGTGTCGCTGACTTCAGGACAATGTGAACGCCAATAAAGTCGCAATGGAAAGCTGCTGTCACTGTTTCAGGGTATTCAAATTTCATCATAACGACTCTGCTCTGCAGACACCTGGAGGTGCAGGTGAGGCCTGGAACCCTGCCTTTTCTCTGCAGCTCTGGCATATGCAGAAACATAGGAGGTCACCCTAAAACACAACTGCATCCAGGAGATGAAGTGGGAGGCAGCGTTTGGCAGAAAATAATCAATGCCAAGCAGCTGGGAAAGCTTTCTGGTAGAATAATAGAGCAATTATCTGTTTTCTTTTTTTCCCGTCCTGATAATTTTCAGTGCATGAAAATCACAAGAGGACATCTGTCTCCCTGCTGCTTGGTCCATCAACTTCTTGATGCAATGGGCAGGAATTCTTCAGCTCTATCTAAGTCGCATATGTCTAAATTATGCAAACAAACAAATCAGGGCTTAGGGGTTTCCTCGTCTGCTCTAACCCACCACTCATCGTCAAACAGAAAACTATGTAAACAAGGAGGGGTATAACAGTATAGCCAGCAAACCAGAAAAGAGGATAAATATTTGCTTTATGGGAATGACAGGAGACCAATCTAGAGTGGTGTATTCTACTGCTAGAGGCAGAGATCATCATCTTACCACGGATCGCACACAGTGAGAGTTCTACAGCAGCAGGAATTAGTGCATCTATATGCTGCTTCTATTATACCAACACATCACAGCATTAAGTTTTTACTTTACTTGTTTTTTTAGTGCCTGAAATAGTCTTCAATTTAAGCCAAAATGGCCGCTAAACAGTGGGGGAAATAAATAATTTGACCCCTTGCTGATTTTGCAGGTTTGCCCACTTACAAAAAAATGCAACAATCTATAATTTTAATCATATGTACATTC